CAAAATTAATGGAGATGCGCAGGGCTTCGGCGCGAAATCGGACTTAATTTTGCAAAAGAGACGCCAAATCTAACTTCAAAGGATTTTGGCAAAAATTGCCCTCCGTTGACTCGTTGAGTAAATGCCTTAAATTTGTTCACTTCTTGTTATGTTTTCTTCTAGATTGAGTCTGTGTAGCTGTATAGTGCGGTTTCAGTTTGGCTTATGTTCCGCAGAAGTCCTGGTATAGCTGGGCTATCCATTGTATGGCTAATGGTGTTTATGCATTCGGGTTTTTGTTCATGTTGCCACAATTGTTTGTAAATTATCGTATGAAATCAGTTGCTCATTTGCCATGGAAAGCTTTCATGTACAAGGTTAGCTGTTTCTTTGAGAGCCGTTCGTACTTAACTTATATGTAATAATGTAATTGTCATTTTTACTTTTTAACTTTCCCCGAGTAGTCTACATTATAGACATTTAGTTTATTTGTGAAGCAAAAGATGCTGTTTTAGACAAAGAGTTATAGGCCGGTTTGCTTCTGGTAAGTTGAGTAATTTTTGTATGTAATTTTGCAAACGGGTAAAGGGGGGAGGGAGGGAGGTGGGCTAAAAATGTCTCTGGCATTCCAGCCCGTTGCAGACAATACTAGAGCCTCTCGGTAAATGTTGAGATATTGCTAGGATGTCCTCATAGCTGGGCGAATAGTGGGGTAAAAAGATTGGAATTAAGTGTCATGTATAAGAGAACATTTCATAATGCAGTCTGTGTTTCATCCCTGAGCTGTATACACAGACCGAACAGTGCATGCGAGTAGAAGTGGGAATCATCAGTACAGCCTCCTACCCGCCATGTATTGAAAAGACATGTAACTAATTTGCAAGAAGGATAATTGAAAGAGAAGAAAATGTAGTAGCATGTAAGTAATAAAAGTGATGGAGCAGATTGAAGAGGAGGAGACTAACGTATGAGACGGGTAATAATTCTATGAAAATTATGAGAAGGCATCGTTCATGAAAATAACCTACTAACTAAGTTTTTAATTCCTACATCATCAGGGTAGATGAATTTACTAAGTACCGATCGGTTCCTAAAGCAAAATCTTAGAACGCAGCGTTCTAATTTGGCAATATCAAACTTTTTTTGTCTATGGATATTTATAAGACTATGGATATTTATAAGCCCAGTCAAGAAATCCCTCTGGAAGGGTTGAAATGCGCGCATATCGAAGTAGCTGTGATATAACAACACCTTCTTGTACCGTGTTATCCATATCACTATCAGGATGTCCACCGTAATTAACTTTGAATGGGTACTCCAAAGTTTTGTTGTAC